GGCTCCAAGCGGGTTGCCCACAGGCAGATAGGCCCACATAGGAGTCCCCAGCATGAAAACTGTTACCCACGCTATACCATGCTTCAAGACATCTCATTTATTTGTCATTAGAAATATTTCATAATATATAATTACACATTTTTTGTGATGAATCACTATGCTTTCATTATACTCCATTTGTAACAATGAAAAATACATCCTGCCTATCAGATATTTACATGATGAGTCATAACAGTAGCAAAATGACAGTGATGAAGTAGCAACAAAAATAATTTTATGGTTGCGGGTCACCACCACATGAGGAAGTGTATGAAAGGGTCGCGGCATTAGGAAGGTTGAAAACCACTGCTGTAGGGGGCCTCTTTCCCACGTCAAACAAGATCTCTGTTTCACCTTCTCTTTCCTTCCCAGCTACACGCTCGATTGTTAACTGCAAGGTAGGCAGTTCAAACTCAGCAGCTGCTTTGAGGGACAAGGATGAGGCTATCTGTTCCCATAAAGAATTACAGCCTTGGGAAAACAGGTTGTTGTGAATTGGGATCTGCTCGATAGCCATGGGTTTGCTTTTCTCCGTGTCCCTTTTTGTCCCCCAAGCCAGGCAGAGAGCTCTGTGTGAACACTTTCTAGTGAAACTTTCCGAGAGAATAAAGAAGCCTCTAAGCCATGGATGCGGGGGAGGTGGAAGGAGGGTCACTGTCAACATTTCCTTCTTCCATCAAACCGCCCTTGCAAGGGGATCTCAACAGGGACCCCAGGCCTGGCGGATGCTCAGGAGAACCCCAGTCCCAGGCTTCACCCTCGGGCTGCCTTCCACCAGGCCAGCCCTGCAGGCAGCCTGTCTGTCTGTTTCACTTCTCTCCAGCCCCGCAGGCCAGCGCCTCCCTCCTCCCTCCTCCCTCCTCCCTCCTCCCCATGGCGTCTCCTCCCTTGGTCCTCACCCTTCTCCCACACGTGTCCTTCTCTCTCCTTCCTCTGTTTCTGCTCTTTTCAGAAGTTAGCTTACAAAGCAAAGTTGTAACTTTGAATTCCTGTTTTGCCAAACACCCTCATGTGACAGGATATGTCCTTATTGGAGGTTTCCCTACATTCAGGAGCCCTTTAAAAGTGGGAGCTTCCTCCAGACTTCTTTTCCGCAGGGCAGCTTGGACAAGGGACCCTAGCGGAGGGGGTCATCGGGCGTCCTTGTTTCCTCTCCATTTTACCCCCTCCTCTCCACCCATGGAAAGGAAGGATCAGCCCTGGGCCGCAGTGCTGCCCCTGCTCCTGGTTCTCCTGTCTCTGGCTCAGGATGCTGCCCAGCAGTTGGGTGAGTGCATGGAGGGAGCGGCCTTCCGACGTGTGCCCGGTGCCCACAGCAAACTTCCCTCTTCTGGGTCAGATGCTAGGATTTCTTTCCACACTCGCGGTGGGGGAGACCTGTGGGATTCCCTGCACGTGAGGCTGTGGGGCAGAGGGGGAGACCTGCTGTGCCCTGGGAGCCTGAGGGCTGGGCAAGGGTACCTGCTGCCCGGCTGAGGGGTAGCCTGGCTCTGAGCCTCACAAGCCCTGCCTCGTCCTTCTGGCTTCTTCCAGCCCCGTGTGCGCCCCATCTTCATTCTGCCCGTGGTCTCCTCCTTCTAGTTTCCAATTCGAAGTACTTCCTTCTACCTAACCTACCCCCCACCTCCACCCCAACACACACACACACACACACATACACACACATCCCTCAGAGTGCTTTGGAAAGAGGGGGCAAAAGAAGGCGTTATTGGTTTCTCTTCTCATTCCAGGTGTCTGGACAAGACCCCAGAGCCTTCCTCCAAAGAGGGTCTGTGTGATATGAGACCCCCACAGCTAACATTTTCATCTGCTGTCATCTTCATTGCTGGCGGGGAGGGCCAGCCTTGATGGCACTCTCCATTATTCACCTGTCTGTTTTGGGGGGTGAGAGGGGGACTGGTGGCTTTCTCCCTAGGGACAGACAGATTCAGCGCTTTTCAAATTCTCAAAGACCTGACTGGGTCTTTTTGTGGTAGTGGTGGTGGTTGATTTCTCTAGACCGGCCAGCTTAGCCTTCAGAAGAAGGGCACTACCTAGTTCGCCGCCCAGCGCTTCTCACACAGCCCAGCGAGCATCTTCAGTACACTTCCAGAAACACAGGCGAAGGCAATGTGGTTTGTCCCCTGTGTCTGTGACCTTGAGCATGTTAGTTGATTTCTTTGTGCTTTCAGTTTGTTTTTGTTTTCTGTTTATAAAATGTGGACAACGGTATTATCTCAATCAGTGTTGTGATGATTCAATGTTACACTATGTAAAATGTTTAAAACAGAATAGAGCCGTTAGAAGTTGTTCATAGATGTGAATGGTTAAAAGCACTCTTGTGTTGTTTTTCCTTTTCTGCATTAATGATTAGTGCGGTGAAAACAGTGCATTAAAGCACGTTGAGAATTTTCCCAATAAACAGCGGAGAAAAGATGTCTGGGGCCTCAGGTGACATTTGATCTTTGTGCTGGGTACAAGGCATATCTATCTGTCAATAATAACTGCAGGAGAAGTTGCTTAACCTGGAAGAGGGAAGACTGTGGCTGAGAGGGTGGAGCTGGACGTGAGCATTTTCTTCTTTCTGTGCAAGGGGATTCTTGTCTTCTTCACGCCTCCCTCCCCCAGTGACAACTAGGAACGGTGCAAAGGTTTGTGTTGTTTCAGACAGCACAGGCTGCTCGTGAGTACTGAGTTCCCTTTTGTGAAAAGACAGTCGACGGAAGTTGGACAAACAACTCAAGCATTATTTAAGACACGTGCCTCACTGTGGTTCTGTTGCCCAGGTGAATCGCTGCGTTCCATTTCAAAATTTTGAATAGCTATATTAAAAGAAAAATCAAGAGATGCAGGTGAAATAGACTTTATTAATATCTTCTATCTAACCCAATCTAGCCAAATGTTAACATTTAACCAAGGGATGTTTTTACATTTATTTATTTTTAATTAGATCTTTCAACCACGACATGCAATATACAAAGCGTACGAGCCTCATTTTAAGTGCTCTGGGGCCACCTGCAGAGAGTGGCTACCATCACTCTTTACCGTAAGACCTACAGATAGAGCCCTACATTCTGTAAACATATTCAGTGATTTAGAGTAGAGATTCCCAAAATGATTTGGCCCCTTTCACAAGAAAATAATAATAAAAAATTACTGGGCTCCCCCAGCAGCTCGAAACAGCTCCACACAGGGCAGTACCCAGCCAGCCTTTCATTCTAGGATCTCAGGGTGCAGCTGACACAGAGGCCAAAACGGTGAGAAAAAGCCTATAGTTGGAATCCAGCGATTCCTGGGATGAGGCAACTTGGAAATCACATAGTTGGCCCTCATCCACTGGTAGGTCAGGCACCACCCATCATCTTAAGGGTCCCTGTACAACAGAGTGTGGCAGACCTGGGAATTCATCGGGCAGCTTTGTGTGATCTTGGGGTTTCTCACAGTGAGACAGATCAGACATGTGACTTGTTTCCCCTGTTGGCTCCCAGTGGTGCTGTGGCCTGACACTGATGTGTCGCTATTTATCCTGATTCTTTCTCAATTTTAACCTGAAGGAAAGTTAGCATGCAATTATCAAATGATTCTCAGAATGACTTATGAAAACTGCAACTCCATTACATGCACCTAACTTACATGAAATATGTATTCTTCAATATATTCAGTCTTCACTGAAGGGGCTTCAAAAAGTCCATGGAAAATGGAATTAAAAGGTAACAGACTTTTTCCCCCCCACAAACTTTTTGAAACCTTTTCATAGACATCTTTTTCCTGTTTTTGTGTGTTATCCATCTCCCCGCTTGACTGGACTCTGAAATCTGTGTTAACCTTTATGCCTTAGAAGAGACAAGTCGTGTTTTGAGTGCTCAGGGTGGTTTTGGGTTCATCTGATCCACCTGGATCAGAGACTGACGACTTCCAGGACTCAGGGTTTGGCACAAAGCAGAGGCTCCGTTGATATGGGCTGAATTGAAAAGGGCAGGGGAGCAGTGGGTCAGGAGGCAGTAGCCAAAGTAGAATAAGTCGTGGCATGGGCCTGCCTCTGACGCCTGGCAAGCTCCAGTGGGTGTCACAGGAGAACTGTGCTCCGTAGGGTTTCCAAGGGCTGCTGTTCTCAGACGCACGTCACCAGGCCATTCTTCTGAGGCACCTCGGGGTATACGCAGAATTCTAATAACGTGTTCTATTTGCCCCGAAGCATGTTAATTGTTTGCACCAAGGAGGGTCTCTACACGTCTATTCTACGAGTAAGTCAACAGAATTTGAATCATGTTCACATGTGGCCACAGGTACATCGTAACCCCTCACTGTATTCCTACAAGAATAGGTACAGTAATAGCCAGGCCCCTCCTGGGGACCGTGCCTTCTCCTAGATGTCACAAAGGCTCACAGAGCAGTGCGCCTCTGTGATTCTCAGGTGAAATTACTTACCCCCTGCCCCGCCCCGCCCCGATAATTCTGACTTGCTGTCCCTCTCCCAGGGGCATGTCCCCTCTGCCTTCTGGTTGACGGTGCTCCTCTCTGCCACCTGTATAGAATGATGGCACGATTTGCACACAGTGCCTCACCTAATTCTCACGCAGCAGTCTCGGATCACCAGAACAGCTGCAGAACCTTTTGAAATTCATAGAGCAAAGGGCAGAAAGATTGCGGTCATTTTAGGAAAAAGTCGTACCTAATAGGTTCAAACGCAGGAGCAATTGTGAGGATGGTGCCGGACAGACAGGGTTCTGTTTGGTTGTGTGTAGGGTCACTATGGGTCAGACTGACTTGTTGACCCCCAAACAGTCTCTCTTTCTCTCTCTGCGTGCACACACACACACATACACACACAAACTGAAGTTTACTAATAGAGCAAATTCTTTGATCATTTTGTCTTAGGCTTATAGTTCTTGTTTATACAATGTTTAAAACTCAATGACTCGGTTGGATTTCAATATAAGACATAGCCGTGTGTGCTATTAAATTGTGTGGTTTCAGCCTTGTGAAAGCGTCTCAGCTAAAGTCCCCATGGAGTGTGCTGCGCTGGCCATGTCTTCTTGCCTGTTCCCATAGTGGCTCGCATCACAGTGTCCTCAGCCTTGAACTTTGAAGTGCTATGTTCATGATAGAAGTCTCGGTGGTGCTTTTGGGCTAATCCTGGTCTGCTCACTGAAAGGTCCGCCCTTCGAAGCCACCAGCTGCTGCCAGAGAGGAACATGTGGCCGTCAACGTCCCTAAAGACGTTGGCCTGGGACAGGTGGCCTGGGACATCCTGGATGGCCGTTCTTCGCTGTCCTGGAAGGTTGCTAGGAAGCGGATTTGCTTGTGTTGTTTGTTTGTTTTCATTTATATGTGTTAACGATTTGAGGGTGGCGTTTTAAGAATAGTGTGGCAGAGGAAACTGAATGGAGAATGTGATTTTTTTGCTGGATATTGTTTTGGCGGTGTCGAGACATAGAAAGCATTATTGTTATTGCTGTAGTTATGGCTTGCTGCTAAGTCAAATCTGACTCAGTGCCCCCCCAGGACGCAGGATGGCCCCACCGGGTTTCCTAGATGGTGATCTTGTCCAGAGCAGATGGTCAGTTCTTTGCTTCCGGGGCCTCATCCTGTGGGCAGCCGATATTTAACCGTGGCACCACCAGGGCTCATTTGAAAACGGGAGAGAAGTGCTCAGCATTGGCTCATAGAACTCATTAATCATGTCTCAGTGAGCCAGCGTTGGGGGAGCCTAAGTGTTTTTCCAAGATCCCATCACAAACCCTTTAATACTCAGGAGTCCTAATTCCCAGCCGAGCATTCTTTCCATTAAATGGAAGCAATGCATTCTGGGTGAATGAATGTAATGGTCAAAGATTTCTTTTTATTTTTTTTATTTTTTATTTTTTTTAGATTTCTTTTTAAACAGCTAGTTTTCTTTTAATCAAGGTGACCAATACATCATATATAATTTTTCTTAAAGCAAACCTACCACAGCTATTTCTTTCGTAGGTTTCATCCTCTTCCGAGTTTTTGCTAACATTTCCACTTTTCTTTATGTTTAGCTTCTTATTTTTTCCTTTAGGCACGTGTCCTGTTTTGGACACCCGGTTCTAGATGTCCTTTCTGAAGTTACTTGGTAAAACCAAGTTTTTAATCATCTTTTCATTTTCTTTTTTTTTT